TTTATTCATTTGGGGGCAGTGGGAACTGAATCTAGGGCTCCACACCTGCCAACCACGCATACTGCCCCTGAGCTTGTCTCAGGCCCAATTCAATTCCTCTAACTTGCAATGCAAGTATGGCATTAGATATGACCTCAGAAGTACAAGAGATAAAAATAGAAGTAGTGACTCATCAAATTACAAAGAATTCATTCTAGAGGGGACAGTTACAAAAGTGAGGGAAAACTCACAGAATAGAAAAAATATTAGTCAGTCATAAATTTGACATAGGACCTCTATCTATCAATATATACATTTGAAATTGAAAAAGAAAAACTCTATTTAAAATCATGAAATTTGGAGGTGAATGGATAGAACTAGAACATATTATCCTGACTGCAGTAACTCAGACCCAGAAAGAAAAGTGCTGCATGCCCCTATTTTGGTTTTTAGCTCCAAATTTGTAGATATGAACATGAAACCTAGACTAGCCATTGGAACTAGGAAAGTAAAAAGGGACCAAGAAGGGAGGAGCAGGAGCTAGAGAGAAGGGAACAGCAGGACAGAGGTTCTATGAAGGGAGAAACGGGAAAAATGTGGCCTTTAATTGGGGAGGGGGGATGGGAGGTAGAACAGATAAAAACACTAAGAATCCTAGAGAAAGACATAGAGTCATTATTTTATATTTACCTAAAATTACATGTGTTACAAATACACACACACACACACACACACATATATTTATATATCCTGTATTTTTTTAAGTGTTGGGGAGCTGCTGAAAAATGACTGCAGGACAGGAACATATGAAGTTCTGCAAGAACAACTATGATACTGGTGTCTATGAATGTTTGATTTCCTGTGAAGTTTTGTTACTTGATTTTAGTAAGGCAAGGAAGGATTTTGTATTGAGACTGTAGATGATAACTAACAAAGATGAATTCTTCTTGCTGCATTGGACTGTGGACATCCACCTGCCTCTTCTCTTGCCCCACAGGTTTGCATTGCCCTGGATTTATGATGGGGGAGGGATCTGTTGCAGAGTCTTTGAGATAACTGAAATTTCCCACTTTCCCTTGTCATTTTTCAATACAAGAATTTATAAAATTCTGAAATTATTTTTTATAATTTATTGTTATTTTATGTGCATTGGTGTTTTGCCTGTATGTATGTCTGTCAGGTCCCCTAGAACTGAAGTTGCAGTTGTAAGACACCATGTGAGTGCTGGGAATTGAACCCGGGTCCTTTGGAAGAACAGTCAATGCCCTTAACTGTTGAGTCATCTCTCCAGCACCAAGACACCATCATGTCTGCCACATTCTGGGGACTTTGAGTAGACAGCATTTAGTTGCCTGCTGCTGAGCTGATTGACCTTGACTCATGCTGTGTGGCCCTCTGTGAATTCACCTCCAGCATTACAGTGTGAAGGCAGGATGTGTCTTAGTCATATTCAGTGCCAAGTTTATTCTTCAATTAGAGGCACTTTAGTTGTAATGAGATATCCACCTTGCCAGTCGGTAGAACATGAGACTCTTAATCTCAGGGTCATGGGTTCATGCCTCACGTTGGGTGCCATTTTTTTTTTTTTTTTTTTTTTTTTTGTTTTTCTGTGTAGCTTTGGAGCCTATCCTAGCAGTCACTCTGGAGACCAGGCTGGCCTCGAACTCACAGAGATCTGCCTGCCTCTGCCTCCTGAGTGCTGGGATTAAAGGCGTGCACCACCAACGCCCGGCGGGTGCCATTTTGTTATGATAGCTCTTCTTGCCAGCCTGGTCCTAATGCCAAATCAACCCCAAATAATACACAGAGACTCTATTAGTTACAATGCTGTTGGCCAATGTCTAGGACTTCTTATTGGCTAGCTCTGTCTTAAGTATTAACCCATAACTACTAATATGTGTATTTCCACAAGGTCTTATCTTATGGAGAATGCCAGACTCATGTGTCCTTTCCTCTTAGGATCACATGGTGACTTCCTACTCCATTTCCCAGAATTCTCCTTCTCTCCTAGTCCCACCTATCTTGCTTCCCTATTAGCCAACAGTGTTTTATTCATCAACCAATAAGAGAGACATATTTACAGAATGCCATCTACTATCATTTAATCTTTACAAATCTCTAGATTATTCTCTAAAGTGGGTAGTAACTTCCCTGAAGACAGACACTGTAAAAATACTTGTTATTTATCTTTGTATTCTTGGTTCAGGACCCAGAGCCTACCATTTGGTAGTCATCCAGTGACCATGTAAGGAATTAGTGTGTTGAACTGCCTGAAGGGACACTTTCTGCACGTGAGTTTCAAGAGGTACACCTATTTTTATCAGAAAGTTGATAGAGTGTTAGCAGCAAATGCAGACCCAGCAGAATACTTCTGGCACATACCACCTTCTCCAGAAAGCTCTTCCTCCAATCACGAGCTAAGGGAAGAGTTTAACTCACTACTTCTAAAGACATTTCTCAGCTGTTGTCCTGTAAGGAAAAAGAACATGGGATCTACTTTGGGAATACTCAGTCTCTTCCTTGATTCTTTGAATATTGATCTGAGGCAACACAGTGGTCCCAAGTCAGTTGTCTACATCATAGGAAGACACCTCAATGAGAATAATCACCCCCCTAGGGGGAGGTCACATCTAGGGGCTGTTTTGTGGGAACTTGTGTTCCTTTGATAGACTTTTTCCAAGAATACTCCAAAATAAACTTCTGCACAATATTGTCTGAGTCTATTTCCTTCAAGGAAGCAGCTTCAAACAGCCAGACACCAGCCAACATGGACCACTTTTAACACCTGACTGAGTATATAGATCTCAGTAAATGCTAATCATATAAGCAGATACCTCACACCTACCTTCTTTGTTATCATGACAACAGGCCACTAAGTCACCCAGAGAGAATTTGCCAGAAGTTCTGAGTGACACTGGGAAATTGAAAGACAGGAGTTTCCAGAATGGAACCCTGAAAGATGGACAGCTTTGAGTTCTCATTTGGAATTATCTCTCTGGGATTCTTGTGCTGTCATATATATAACAAGTCATACTCTCCTAGGACCACTGAGGACAGATGCTCCGAGGGGCATTCCTAGATGAATCACACTTTTAACCATCCTCCACCCCCAGAGCACTAAAAATGTGAGTGAATCTGTCTTAGTTTCAGACCCATCAATCCACCATTTTCCTATCACCCCTCAACTCAGTTTACATGGCAAGAAAATCAACATCCAAACCCTGCCAAATTCCTTACCTACAAAATCGTGCTGCAACAAATGATTATTATTTTCATTTTCTCTGCAACAATAGATATGCAGAGAAAATTCCTGGAATTCTGTTAACACAGCTTCCAACTTCCCATATCCTTTCTGGGGACCAAGCAGGGAAGGAAATGGAAACCTTGTGTCTATTCTACTGATGTGAATATCTGGAGATCTCAGGGTAGAACACTGGACCAAACCCAGAAAGTCCATTTGTAGCCACCCTGGAAGTGGAACTGACTCTCAGGAGCCTTTCCTCAGTGCATTCCATTTGACAGGCTTGCCAATTCACTGTGAGAAAATGGCATTTAAATTGTGATTTTTAGGAAACTGAAGACTGAGTGAAGATGACCCCCCAGCTCTTAGACCCGGTTCAAAAGAGCCAATGAATGTGGATCTTTGGGTTTTATTTTTAAAGGAATATTTGGATCTACAGATGAGTTCCCTGATGTACATAATAAGATCATGACTTTGGGAAGACATTACTAATTCAGACTTTTTTGATGCTGCCTCTACACAGAATTCATATGTGTCAGAACTTTCGCCTGGGCTGTCTGTGTGTAATACTTGACCATAACACTTCCAGTTGGGGTTCTTTTGTTTAGGATACCATATTGAGGTCTGTTTACTCAATAATTGTTGCTTAGTTCTGAGTCTAATGGCTTCATCACCCATTCCATCTCAGTTCCCTCTACGGCTACATGTCCCACGTATAATATGAATATCAAAGTTTTGTAGTTAGAGTTTCTTTTGCTGTGATAAAATATCATGACCAAAAGCAACCTAGGGAGGAAAGGGTTTATTTCAGCTTGTACTTCCAGGTAACATCCCATCTTGGGAGGGAATCTTGATAAGAACTTGTCAGGAACCTGAAGGTAGGAACTGATGCAGAGGCCATGGAGGAGTGGTGTTTACGGGCTTGCTCCTCATTCCTTGCTCAGCTTGCTTTCTATAGAACTCAGGACCACCAGCTCAGGGAAGGAACCACCCACAATGGGTTGGGGTCTACCCCATCAGTCCTTAATTAAGAAAATACCCTTTAGGCTTTCCAATATTATGGTAGCATTTTCTTACTTAATTAAGGTTTCCTTCATTCAGATGATTTCAGCCTGTGTCAAGTTGACATAAATCTAGCTAGTACAGAAGTTTTCCATGTCATTCCTTACTATACTCAGAAGACACAAAGAAAATACAAAGAAAATTGGAAATAAAATGTTCCTATGAAGGAAAAGTGACTAGGCCATATCTCTAGGCCACTATAGTTAGATTCCTTAAAGAATGAAGGAAGCTGAGGGAGCAGAGCCCTAACTGTACATAGATGTCATAGACCTGCATGCATGATCTTAGTTCTCACACACCCCTGTGAGGTACATATCACTAGCCCTGTCCACTAAGAAAGACACAGGGGTAGGGAGAGGACTAGGCAAAAGCCAGCAACAGATCAGCAAGAGGAGGAGGATGAAAATCTAATCCAGGTGTCTAAGGTCAGAGCATGAAGAGAACTGAGAATTTCAGACTATTAGGGAAGCTGCTCCAAAACAAAACCTGTCCAATAACAGAAGAGGACTTTTGTTTGTTTACTTTTTGAGACAGGGTCTCAATATGTAGCCCAGGGTAGCTTCTATCTGGTGATCCTTCTGCCTCTTTCCCTTGAGTGCTAGGGATACAGATAAGTTTGGGCCATCATATCTAACTTGGATGTAGAGGAATTATTGTGCAAGCAAAGTATCAGACTTCATCGTTATGAACATATAGAAAAAAATTAAAATGTACATACCTACACAGTTGTGGCCATTGGAGTAGCTGGTACCTGGCTGGTCCTCATAGGGTGCAGAGGCCAATGAATGAGAGAGCAGGAGAAGAAACAGAGGAGTGGCCTTGAGGGTCTCCCAAGGGGACTTCATCCTGAGTTGTGTACCAGGAGTCACTATCTTGGTCCACGAGGTTACTTCTCAACCCTCCTTGGTCTCTCTATAGCTATCACACCCCAAATGCACACTGCCATAAACACACTTTGCAGCAAGTGTGATGCAAGTGAGTCTGTACACACACACACACACACACACACACACACACACACACACACACACTCATGTGCGCGTTGTGGCTGGCTATTTTGAGACCTCTGAGAGAGGCTCAGATGTCCAGGTCTGGGAAAAGCTAGCCAAGTCCTTGGTGGGTAGTCCCTCTGAGCAAAGACTTGAGGAAAAAGAAATACCCAACTTGCACAGCGACAGCAACAGCATTTCCGGCCTCTGACTGAAGTCGGTGGCCACAAACCACATGAACTTTGAGGTTTGCCTGAAGCACACTGTTGGGTTAGAAGAGAGAGGCCCTTCCCCTTTCATTCTTGCAAAACAAAACGAAAACTAAAACCAAAGAAGAAAACATCTCACCACCTGTACACAGTCCTTCAGCAACCTGATTGGCAGCACCTACACATCAAGGAAGTTATAGTTGTAATGAAGGGTGATTATGGTTGTAATATGTAATGCAGAATTATATTTAAACTTATTTTGCTGTCTTTTAAGTGCTTGTATGTGTGAGGATGGACTCCTTGCTTTGTCAGAGAATTTTCTTGTTGAGTGGTGACTTTCCTCTAGCAGAGAGAGACTGTTCCTTGCAGGGCCCAGCTTTCTTAAAGGCTTCCATTTGGTATGCAGACAACAATGGGCTGTCATCGGGACTAGCTCTGAAATCTCATAAGAAAAAAAGATGTGAGTTAGCACCTCATATTTACTTGTCTGGGCAGGCAGCATCATTTTCCCTCAGCATTTCAAGATGTGTTTGCTTCCCACCTGTGAGAGATTTGTTCACTTTTAAGAGACTGATTTTTCTGCTTGATGTTGAGAATTTGGCACTGTTTTTCTGGGGAAAGCAATCAGAAAAACAACAGGACTTGAAAATAAAAGATACATAATCTGAATGCCTTGTTTTTTTTTTTTTTAATAAGTTATACCAAAGTTGTATGCAACACTCAGAGAAATTCAGAGGCTAAATTACTCAAGTCCAGATAAGAGTGAAAAGTCATGTGACTGCCCCTTCCTGCTTTGGCTCCAAGAAAAACTTAGAATTATGGAAGTTAGTTAGATTGGTTAGCATTTTTTTTGTCTAATAGCATTTACAAATTTTCATATATGTATTCAGTGTGTCTTGATCATACCCACCCTCAGTCCCCCCACTCCACCCACACTCTCCCAAGATACACGGGATGTCCCTTCTCACCTTCCTGTCCTTTCCTGAGGACAATTAGCGCTGCCTGTTGAATACTAATGTGGCCTTGTGCACTCCACACACACACACTCTCCCCAGACACAATGAAACATGTCCCCTTCTCACCTTCGTGTCTTCTCCTGAGGACAGTTAGTGTTGCCTGTTGAGTGCTAACTTGACCTTGTGCAGATCTTTTGCTTGACCAAGGTGCTGCTGCTTCTGGTCCCTGACCTTGTGGCAAGGGAATCTTTAGATAAAATGATGGAGTGACTGAAAGATAAAGGCTCATGTTTGACTGCCATGTCTGCCTTTACATGAGGAAAATATTAGGCAAGTGAATCAACTTTCTTCAGTTTCATCAGTTACCATGGGTAATGCTAGTTTTTTTCAAAGATTTTATCTATTTTATTTTATGTATATGAGTACTCTATCTGTATATATGCCTTTAGGCCAAAAGAGGGTATTAGAACCCACTACAGATTATTGTAAGCCACCATGTAGTTGCTGGGAATTGAACTCGGGACCTCTGAAAGAGCAGAAAGTGCTCTTAACCACTGAACCATCTCTCCAGCCCAGGGTAATAGTAGTATTACCTTGTAAGGTTACAACATAGGTTCAGGTGATGTTGAACCCAAAGTACCATGCCAGGCAAGAAGTAAATGCACAGTAAATTAAAGCCCTGGCTGTTACCCAGGTGAAGATGTGACCACATATGTGGCCCAGGTCAAATTTAGAGGGAATTCTACAGTTGTATGATAGTTGCAAGGCAATATGTAATGTTTGGGAAAAAAAAGTCATGAACACAAACCAGAATTTACTGAACATTTTTTTTTTCTGGCCAGTCAAACATCAAGAGTACATGATCAAGTCTGTCTGACCCAAAGACTTAAGAAATGTTTCAGAAAAGCATTTGAAATAGCTGCAAGGTAGTCTCAATGCACAGCCATAAGCACGCATGGAAAACCTCAGGATCAGGGGCCGATCAAGTTGTATATGCTTCACCATCTATTCATGATCAAGTCAGCTACACCCACAACCATTCCAGGAGTTGGGAGCTTTGAAAACACATGGCGCACACATGCTTTGGGTTGGCCCAGTAAGTGACTCTGACTTAGCTCTATAGCAGCGAGCAAGTCCCTCACCCTCTTCCTGGTGGCATGCCTCTGCTAGAAAAGGAGTTAGGATGTTTTTCTTCAGAGAGGTATGGGAGAGTAGTGCCATAAGGCAGGCAGTCAGTAATGGCAGTGCTTTTCCCACTTGACAGCTGGTTTCTTAGTGTGCAATGCCAAATGAAATGGGTAAGTGATGCTGCCAGCTGACACTAGAAGCGCAACACCACTAGCAAAACCTCAGTGCCCCCTTCTCCCCTCCCGTCACAAAAGTGGAGGCTCTCAGACTGGTAGCATCATTCCCATCAAGGCTCCCTTTGTTCAGCAGGTACTGAATACAAATGACCTATACCTGTGATCAACCTGGCAAGAAGCCACCTGTGGTTTGTAAGAGCTGATGGGCCCCTGTGTGATGTCTCCAGAGGAGTCCTGCTGTTAGATGCTCCAATTTTGATTTTCTCAAAATCTGTTCTTGAGAATGAGATGTTTTTCCTTGCAGCACTTTAGTTTCTCTGCTCCAAGAGCTCAGATGCAACCCTTACCCTTTCTGTCTTCAGCAGGAGGCTGGGTCCTGAAAACAGCACCCATGGTTCAATGCGGCAGGCTTGTTCAGTGTGAATTCCTCTTCTGATTCCTTCTGACCTCATTGGTCTCTGCCTCTCATTCATAACAAGCTCTTCATCAGGAAAAGAAGTAGAGGACAAAGATAAAACTAAGAAAAGATGTCAAAGAAGCTTGTGTTGCTATAAGGCATGGACTCGACTCAGCTTCCTCTATGTGCTCAGGTTCATACTGCCCTCTCCATGTTCTGGCTCCAGACTTGTCCATGCTGACTGCCTAGACGCAGGTCCCGGGTAGAGCACTCTTGCACTAGTCTGATCCCATTGTATACCATGTCAAGCATGTGGTCTTTCGAAAAGATCTCCAGAGGTTGGCTAGAGAAACTTACATCATTATTATGGCTTCACCATTTAGTGACTATGCACCCTGAGACCATCAATTTCTTTAACTATGGAGATTTATTCATTCATATTTCATGTCTATAAATGTGTGCCTGAATAATATGTATGTGCACCATATGTAGGCCAGAAGAGGGTGTTGAATCCCCTGGGTTCCAGATAGTTGTTATCCAGCAGATGTGGGTGCTGGGGACCAGACTTGGGTCCCTTGCTGGGACAGCAAGCGCTCTTAATCATAGAGTCATCTTTCAAGTCCTTTATTTAACTATGAAATGTCATTTACCTGCCAATTATAGCAAGATTATGAGGCTTAAGAGATGGTATTTAAAAAAAAAACCTAAATTTTAATGCTAGATGAATATAGAGCTACCAACAAAGAATGACAAAAATCTGAGGTGATGTATATGCTGGCTACCAGAATGTGGTCATTGCACACTATATACACATATTGAAATGTCACACGATACTCTATTAGTATGTGCAACTGCTATGTATCCATTAAAATTCATCATTTATAAAATGTAGAGCTGACAACGAATCAGCATTTCCTTTCTCCAGTGATATGCTAAAATTAATATTTTACTTGCATATTAACTCAGAAAATTTCAAAAGCTTTGTTTTAATAATACAGGCACAAAAACCACAATGTATAACAGGGATTCAGAAATCCCCAGAGAAATGTTTTCAGTAAGTAGAACTGATCGTCATGCTTGAAAGCTTAGTTCTAGTTCATGAGTTCATGGGGTGTCAGCTGCTGTACTCTTAGTGGTAGAAAATGTGGAGACAGGGCAATTCACTCCTATGAGGCACACCAGTGGCTTACAGGGAAAAGCCAGTTACCAGGAATGATCTAGGGCTCCTCCATGCCTTGTGAATGTAGGAGTGGACTGCAGCCCCTTTAAATTAGCCACGAGGATTTGTGCTCTTGGTCCTCCCTTCCTACCCTCCAATTTAATCACTCTCCCTCTTATTCACTTTGAGTGTCTAGAGCTTTAGAAACAGAGATGCATTTACTAAGAATGGAGGTTTTATGATGCTTTTGATCAATTTTTTTAAATATATACATCCAAGGGAACTGGGGACATAGTTCAGTGGGTAAGAGTGTTTGATGTGAAAGCAAGAGGACCTGAGTTCAAATCCTCAGCACTTACATGAAAGCTGGGTATAATTATACATTCCTGGATCCCCAGCATTGGGAAACAGATGGAGGTAACCAGCTAATGCTGGAAGCTTGATGGCAGGCCTACCTAGCCAAAAGGTGGGAGAAGGGTGTGAGGGGAGCTTCAGCTTCAGTGAGAGACTGTGCCTCAAAAGCTAAGGTGCAGAGAAAGACACCTGATACTTTCCTCTGTGTGTGTGTGTGTGTGTGTGTGTGTGTGTGTGTTTGTGTACACCCCCACACTCAGCACACACACACACACACACACACACACACACACACACACACACCCACACACACACACACACACACACCTACCTCCCTGGAAATGTATTTGAGACAAATGTGTCATTTATAGCAAAACTGCCTCTGTGGAGGAGCAATTCTATTAAGTAGAAGCTTTCTGGGCACCAATCTAAGGAGAGGAGAACAAGGATGGAAGACACACTTAGGGTGCTGTTGGC